TCCTTGACGAGAGCCCAAGCGTTGAGAGCATCAAGCAGGTTGACGTAGCCAGGGGCTCCGTTCAGGGCCTTGAAAGGAAGCTTGCCTTGAGCCATGAAAGCAGAAGCGGGCTTCTGGTGGGGGTTGGTGCCGTAGCGGAGAGCCATGTACTGCTCGCCGTTTCCTGCATACTGCTTGCGGAAGAAACCGGAGATAGCAGTGTCGTAGTCGGCGGTGTGCTCAAAAGCCTTGAGAGCGTAGGACTTACGGCTGGCGTCGGTAATCTCACCAGCTTCCAGCTCCTTGAGGAATTCAGGGTAGTCCTGGGGGTCTGAGAGGATGGTAACGCGGGAGTGGTTCTTGGCAGCAGCACGGAGGAGGGTGACTCCGCCAATGTCGATCTCCTCAACAGCCTCCTCGATGGTGACGTTCACCTTGTTGACGGTCTCCTTGAAGGGGTACAGGTTGCAGACCACGAAGTCCACCTTGGCAATGTTCTGGTCGGCCAGATCCTTCTCGTCAGACTCGATATCACGGGCAAGGATACCACCGTGGACAGCGGGGTGAAGAGTCTTGACACGGCCACCGAGCATCTCCGGGGCATGGGTGATGGCGGAGACATCTCTGATCGACCATCAGTTTTGAGGTCTTGAGAGACCCAGTCATGACCATAGCAATATGGTGACTCACTCAACGGGGAATCCCGCCTCCCGAATCAATCTCGCGGTACCACCAGAGGCGAGCAGCCGGACATTGTGCTTGACGAGGCCCTTGGCCAGGTCAAGCAGTCCGGTCTTGTCGTAGACGGAAAGGATGGCTATAAAAGGGATTTGAAGAATGCAATTAGCCCCAGATACTCTGGATTCTCGCAAGTAACAGAAATGCCAAATTGTGGGGACAGGTATCGGACCAAGTCCACTACTTGACAGGTCTCGAAAAGTACCCGATCAAGAAAAAGAATTGAAGACGGGAGACAAGAAATATCAATTGACTTACCTGACTTTTGTTGAGACATCCTGAGATACTGACAGTGAAGGGGTCACTAGAGCAGAGAAGCACAAAGTCAGGAATGATGAAGAGGGAAAAATTGTTCAGGTCGAATAAAAAGGGCCCCCCCACAGCCCCTCCGGGACGATCAACTGGGAGCTCCGCACACAGAGCACGAGCAACATCAAGAACAAAGCAAAGAAAACGTAAGGTACGTACCTGGAAAATGAGAGGAAATTGGGGGAATATAGTGGCCTCCAGATTTGTTATATTATCGTCGAGACCGGGGGTTGATCAATGGCAGAGATAATATAACCTTACCTTTGCAACTGATCACAGGCAAGGTCAATTGAAGTTCCCTCAATTTCTCCTCGATGTCCCGCCGCGGGGTCCTTCGCCGCTTTCGGACCTGGCGGGTGACCAAGATACTATCGATTACTAACCGCCATCTGTCGTAGCTCCAAACCCGCGGGAAAGACGCCCAGACGGACCTGCGGCAGGTGCTTACCCTATTAGGCTTAGCAATGACATCGGCTATTTATGCATAATGTGCTTATTAATACAGATACACACAAGTAAAGGTAGTCACGTGTAAATCACATGATCTACGCACAGGCCACAAACATTCCACTACAAAAGCCTTGCTCGGCCGCTTCGCTTTGAATTTTTTTTTTTCTTTTCTTCTACATGAACAACGCAAAATCAACATTCTTCAAAAAGCGTTCCTGCGAGGATATCTTTCCCTAAGGGGTCTGTATAGCCGATGAAGTACGGAAATCGTCATACAGAATGGAGAGAAACTGCCTCTGGCAGAGTATCGATCTTGGGTGCAGTGTCTGACTTGAACTTACGTTCGGTGGAAGGGACTGCAATGATTGATTCTACAATCTCTGCTTATTATCTAAACTGATCTATTTTCTCACTTCGGGTAGACGGAGTTCGTAGTCGATTTTCATAATCTCGTCGCTATGGCTTTTGGCCCAACGGATCATCTATCTAGTAACAGACTTGTCTCTGAGAAACTGCACGTGGCCAAAGGAAGGAGAATTTCTGCATTAAGAAAGTGGAGTGCTAGGGTATACAAAGACCCCGGTATCAATTAAATGTTGGGATGAGAAGGGGTACGGTCCTGTTCTCGCGTCACTTTAGCGACTCGCGCTGGGCTCCAATGGCAAGCTGCCGGCCAATGTTTCCAAAGCAGACGCATGCGCAGAAAAGAACGCTGGCAACCCAGGTCCTTACTGCTATGCTTTCCTGTGACATCTCAACAGCCAGCCCATATCCCAATCCGGTGACGTCGAATTTGCTTGCTGCAAAAGCCGAAGTCTCTGCAGACGGAATCAAGTCAGGCTTGAGTCCCAATATTATACCCATACCGGCCAATCCAACAACGGTTGACAAAACGAAACCGGTCCGTGTGCGGTCGATGAGGTACCATAGTACGGGGTTCACGAGCGCGAGCGTCAGTGATGCTTGAGTTGTAGATTCCCAGGGTAGTCGGCGCTGTAAGATACAGAGCCGGATTAGTATTATGAAGCAATAAACGCTGGTTGCTGGATTTTTGCTTACCATGGCAAATGCAATTCCCACAAACGCGCCAACGCTGCGAACCACTGAAACCCATGAGAGAGTACGGTCTGCAGTCTCGGGGTCGCTCGACCCTTTTGCCTGCTTAGGGCTGCCAATAATTTCATCTGAAAACTGATCGAACCAAGGAAGAATGTTGCCCAAAACGACGCCGGCCACACCCCAGAAAGCAAGATACTGCCATGATCCGTAGTAGTGTGTATTCTCCAACTTCACCGGAGTGATCCAATGATTCTCATGCAAGTGAATTGTGATGACACCATAGACAACGCCAAAGCCCAAGAGGAAGGCGCTCTTCAGCGCCTGCGGAAGGATGATGCCCCGAAACAGGCCGTGGCTAAGCCGTGATCGTGTCCGCTGAAGTTTGCCTGGAGCTGGAGCCGGAGCTTCAGGCTGGATTCTCGGGCTTCCTGATTGAGGCGTATGGGCTTCCGTCCCCCAGGGACTCGAGTCGTCACGAGAGCTGTCAAATGCAGTGGGAGAGTAAATGCCATACAGCGTCGAGGAGGTCAAGTTCATGATCGAAGCATTGCGGCTGACACTGGTAGAGCCGGTATCTTTAGGGGCGAGCAGGTCTGGGTTGGAGGGTTCCACTGGAGTAGAGGGTTCTTCAGGCGTGAGATCGAACACACGTCGCGGACGCGGGCGAAGGATCGTAGGCTCGTCAGACATGCTAGGCGGGATGCTGGTTCCAGAAATTCAGGGGAGGGTGTGAAGGGAGAGGGGAGCTATAAAAGAGAGAGCGTGAGGCGTGAAGGAGGCAGTGGTTATTTGACTCAGGCGCGGGAAATCTTCAACTCGACACTGTAGTCTAATCACTAATCAGATATCGTGATCCACCGGCTCCAGCAAGATCAGCCGTCAGCCCACCCGCGGTTAAATATCGGTAGCTCGACTCCTTTCGAACAATTGTCCTGTCTGCGTGAAGGAGCGTGTCCGAGGTGGGGGGAGAAGGCGAGAGGAGAAGGGAAAGGCCAGAGCGTGCTGGAGCTGCAAGCACACAGACAGCCAAATAATAGTAAAGGGGAGGCTGGAGGCAGATCTGTTCGTGCCAGCGGCCTAGTGGAGCAACACTACTGGCAGTAACTGGGGGTGCAAGATTTGCGGCGGATCGGCAGAGGACACTCTGAGGGGGAAAGGGAATTGAGAACCATTGAGTGGGGAAAATGAATGGCAATTGCTTTTGAATAATATATGGAAAAAGCTAGTAATGGGATAATGTGACCCTGTGTAGTAAGAATAATTAAAAATGCAAAGTGGTGCAGAGCCAGAAAACCCTGAACAATCCGGAGCAGTGAGGATGCAAGAGAGGCCGAAGGAATGTTGGGGGAAGCCATACTCCGTAATGAGCAGCTCATCCTGCGATCACATGTAAAACAGTTTTAGTTCCACCACCTCCAGCTGCCGCCACAAAAAGGAACCCGCCAAAACACTCTCGTCCCAACCAATTTCATGATGACAAGAAGAGTCCGTCAGAGTCATACTCTGTCTCTGCGCACTCTCATCTGAAAATCTTGGCTGAATTTTATCGTCTGTCTGGCCAGCACAGTATAGGGATGTGGCCTAGGGTACCAGTATACCGTCTGACCCTGGCTCAACCTCACATTTCGGAAATCCCCTCGACGCCCTTGCTTCTCTAGCACATGTAAATTCGGGAGGAGATCGAGTCGGAGAAAATGCACAATGTCATGGTTGCTAATCCTTGACTCAGGGACGTCAACCCACCCAACTAAAGAGCAGCTTCCACGTCACGACCTCCTCCTTCCCCTCGAGCTTGTGCACCGACTATTACACCAAGTGTGTCACCGTAGTTTCATATCTCCTCTTGGATGTGTCTATCATTAGTAGTGACGCCATTCAGAGCTGTCTTAGGGCGGATGATACTTGTTCTAATACGACCGTCCCCGCTACTCATGCAGCTTAACATGTACACCCCGCACGATATCATACTGGGCTGAGCTTGGCCACAGGTATCTGGACGCAAGATCACGTTCCAACTGAATTAGTGTACAGTAGACGTCAGTATCGGTATTCGTGAAACCGCTGACTACCATTCTTACCAATAAAACCATGATGTACTGTCAAAGTGAGCCGGACCTGCAGAGCCCTTTCAATATATACTTCGAAAGGAACATAGGGATCCGGAAACCGAGGCAGAGCAACACCCACTATAAGGCGTGGAATACGGAGGTTAGAATCTAGTATGTTACTACTAGTAATCGTACTGTTCAGAACATGGGAAGTGTTGCGAGTAACTTCGAGCAACCAGAAAGACTCCCTGTAGGTGCGGCGCTTGCATTTCCAAGGTGACGCAATTTCATGATTAACTCTACGCATATAGTAGCCCTCTGTTTGAACAAGGAGTTGAGACAGACTTTCAGCTTGAACGGGAAAGCCAGGACTATCGAAGGCGAACAGGTTTCGAGCTAATAATAGTAACATGATGTATTGTATCAAGCTAGTCTCAATCCCCGTGGGTTTAATAAGTGCAAAAGGAAATACAGAAAAGAGAGGGGAACAAACTACAACATATGAAGGGACACATTGAAAAAGCGTTGCCAAATAAGATACGGCACCTTAGACATAAGAAATGGATGTAGTTGATAGAGCAACCAAACCGCAAGGCGAATTAACAAGCTCCATGGCGGTTGCTGCGTAGCCCACAGACATATGGCTTATTTGTCTTCCATAACCTCATCTTTCATATCTTCTCGTTCTGCTGCCTCGCCGCCAGCTTCAGTGGCTGGCTCGGCAGCATCTCCAGCGACCGAAGAAGTCTCACTGGCAGCATATCCGTTTCCACCTTCCATGGTAGAGGAATTATCATCACCATCGGCTTCCCCTTCTCCCTCATCGAGATCATCATCGTCGGCTTCTTCGTCGTTCTCATCGGATGAGAGTGCCTCACCCTCCTCATCTGGATCACCTCCGTCGCCAATAAAGCTGTCCTCATAGCCAAGTTCGGCAGGGTGAGATGTACGAGCTTTGCGTGTCGTACCGACATCTTCCTCTCCACTTCCTTCCCCTAGAATCTCACGGTCGATGTCGTCAAGTCCTTCCTCGCCTTCGATGTCTCCGTCTTCATCGCCCATCTGGGCCGATCCAGGCATCGGGGAGAGTTCCTGATCCCGGGATGGCACTTCGAGACCATCCTTAGTGGCATCGGGGTTGGCTGTCTCACCATCTCCAGCATCACGTTGAGCACGGCTCCTGTTAGCTTTAGAGCGCGATGTCGATGCGCCTTGCTCCTTGGACTCTGTAGCCGAGGCACCAGATGCTGCCCCAGCAAGCTTGCGTTTAGCATTGCGCGCAGCGCGGGCTCTGCTACGGGCCGAAGACGGGACGCGCCCAGCAAGATCTGAGGAGTTTTCCATGGCCAATCTGATCTCTCTTGCCTTCTGACGTTGCTCTCTTTCCTTCTTGCGGTCACGTTTCGGGCCGTTGGCATCATCATAATCCCATCGGTCCAAGCGCCTGGCCGCCTTGCGAATGACAGACAGATAGTAGCTGGCGCATTCACCAAAGTCTTCCTCTTCCTCCGGCTTTGGAATAAGCCCGCCTTTGCCCCACGATCTCTCCTCATCGTCCGTATCATAATCATCAGGCAGGGTTGATAATAGACGACCGTGACGGACGAGCGGTAACTCGCTCTCTCGATTCGCACGCAAGACACGATATGCCTCATTCTTCCGCTTGGCTAGAAGATATTCAATTCGCTGTCGCCGATTTTGCTCAACAGCGAGCTGGTGCTGTGTAAGGGGCCGGGGACGGCGAGAAGAAGACTGCTGAGGTAAGGTAGGTTCTGCGACGAACCGGTTCAAAATGGGATGGCCAGAGCCTGGAGGAGCTGGAGAAGCAGCGTCAGGTGTGTTTTCCATCTTGGTTCTTAAGATGAGACGCTGCTGACCAACAGAACGGTTGAGGGAAGAATCCCGCTTAGGTCTCTTGTAACGAGACCTGGCAGATTGTCCAGGAGTTTGATAATCATCCTCATCATCCTGCGGATAGCGCTTGGAAGAGGGATGTAGGGGGGTTGACATAGTAGAACCGCGGCCATCGCCTCGACCTATGATAAACAGATTAGTAAACTGGGAGGCCTGAGAATTTTCCTGGACAGACTTACCCGAAACATCTCCCGAGCCATCTTCCTCATAGCCAAAGTCTGGCAAACCTACCACGAAATGTCAGTCAAAGAAGGATATGATACCTTGATCTCAGAAACGTACCCTTCTTGGAGCGTTTGGTCACTCTAGGAATCGGTTCATCTTCCTCCAGAATACCTGCGGATGGTGTCAATGATTGCACAAATAGAACTCGAAGAAAGGTCTGAAACTGACGTTTGCGTTCCAGGCGCTTAGCCTCTCCATATTCAATCTCAGACTGAGTATCAACATTTTCCTCGTTTGCTTGTTCCTCGGTAAGGCTTTCAAATTGAGGCACCTTGATGGGCAAGCCCCCGGTTCCTTCACCGTCCAGGCCGGGTCCAAACGGATTGTTGCGTGCGGCTTCGGCGCTGAAATCACTTTCCAGGTACCACCACATCAACCATAGGAATGCCTTTGCACGACTCTTACTGCTCAATGTGCCCCGCATGACGAGGTCAAAGAAGTCGCGTGGAGGGAAGAAGTGCATTTCAGATACCTTGGGCGCGTATTGTGCCAGAACGAAAATGAGGTTTACCGGGTTGGTGCGAGGAATTGCATGGCGCTTGATCCTTTCTAGAGTATTTGGCTGGTCGACGTCTTCCGAAGCACCCTTGAGAATGGATTTGAGACGAGGGGCGTCTTGGAGCTGCTTGTAGGCGTTCGGGTCTTGGTGCGCTTGTAGCGAAGGAATGGAGTGATAGGTCCGCAGTTGGGCACGCATCTCAGGGAAGACTGGTCCATATCAGTAAACGACGAAGAAAAGCAGAAAGAATGCCTGTGAGCTGAAGGTGGATGGAGGACATACAGTTGAGAGTGGTATTCATCCTTCCGAAATTGACCAGCAAGCAAACCATAGCCATGCTGATAGCTGCTTGTTTATCGTTCTGAAGTTTGTCCTTCAAGATCTTGCTCGTCTTGCTACTCCTAGCCATAGCGTCGATGTAGATGTCCGCAAAATCCAGGTTCTTCTCTCCATCTGGCCAACGGGTAAAGACCTTAGTCTGGTCTTCGAAGACGAGCTTAAGGAACTGATACTGGATGTCCTTGCGCCATAGCGGAATGCCGTCTTCCTTCTTGAGATGTCGAATCTTATTTCCGGAGTAGACAGACCCGATAGTGCCGTTCGCCTGACGCCTAATACCGACGGTCATATTGTGAGTTTGCTGCTCATCTTGCGGCTCGGATTGCGCAAACGACTCGTCCGCGGCGGTGCTTTCAACCTCAGCCATCTCGGAAGTCGCGTGGTTTCACGAAACAATGGCCTTTCGTATGGATGTAATAATATGGAGCCCTCAAGACCGCAACGTAAGGATCCGTTCTCGGCGTGTCCTGAGAGCGGTAGCCGCGCAGGGGGACAGCGATTGACGGGATAGTTAGCTCAAGGACGACGCAATGGATGAACGAGTGGAAGAGTGGTCGCCCAGTGGGTGATAGAAGGTAGGGGATAATGAGGTGAAAGAGCTGGGAAAGTTTGACGCGGATGGAAGATTGAGAAAGAGGGAAGAAATTGGGAGGTGGGCAGGGAACGTGATCCTGGACGATCCGTGACTTTCTTCTTTCTCCCTTGGCTTGATCTCCGATCGTGCGCGGGAGTGACTAAGGTAGCCTGTATAGTTAACTAAGTAACTAACACGCGCTTGGAACCCGATCATTCGCATGAGCAGTTCCGTCAGTATTTATTACTTTAACCAGGCATTCCCTTCCCTGGTAGGATCATGGTGAAAGATTTCTACACTTCACTCCATCAAACAGCTGGTCTGTCGATATAGGCTCACCGTGCAAACTAAGACCCGCTTCACCACAACCATCATGCCATCACCATTCAACCGTCAGATATTGGATTAGACTGATTGAACACCTTTCCAAGATGGGTGTAAAAACATTATGATAGAAAATACTCTGACACGAAGCAAAGTTTAGGTAACCTATACATACTGACTGATGTGTGCCTACGTAAGTTCAAACCAAGATGCTGAGGGAATAATGCAACCAGGTGGACGTTATCATTTCAGTTACACATAATCGAGCTTGAGACTTTTTTTACTTAAACAGAGAATAGCTAGCTCCCTTATTTCTGAGACGCGCGGTCTCCGTAAGCAAGGCCGTCTTCGGCATTAACCGTTGAGCCCAAACTGCTACTGACATGATATAATGATACCCACAAATAGCGCCAGCAAAGCAGCTTCCCATCCTCCACGGATCCGAGATATGAACCAGAAAAAGAAGATCCCATTCGATGTCAGCCTCCACGGACCCCAGTGCAGAGAATATTTTTGTGGACACAGCAGCTCGAGCCAACGCCATACACAATGCAATGAAGAAACCTATCTCTATCACCCGCCTTCCCATTTTTGTAACCCATCGTTCCTTGAAGTCGTGCAAAAAGATCAATGCTCGCCGAAAGACGTCACAGCCACACAGACCTTGATGTCTCTCAAACTCCGGTGCGAATGCTTAACACAGCTTGGAGTAGTAAAGCATAATCTCAAGCAAAGCACGAAACAACAACATGGATGGAAAAAGAAAACGGAATAAGAGAAACCCCGCCGTGAGAAACCGAAACTGTAAGAAATCTATTCGCGAGACACGGTCGATGCAGCTGCCTGGCACCAAGCAGGGAAAAATCATAAAAAGCACTTTTCTGAACACGAAAAGCCGGCACCCCCGCTCGGCACGCGTCGTTCAAGCGGATCTCCGTATGGCCGCCTGAGAACAAAAAGGGTATCTGATGAAGCGGTCGCAGGAGAAAGACAACGCATTCTATGATATCCATGCAATGCCGACCCGAATGCTCTCGATTATAAACGGGTATAACCACGAGCAGCGAGATAAGGAGATCGGACCACATCGAAACCCATGTCTAAAACAAAACGATGAAATAAGCAACATTGATAAAATGCTCAGCAGCAGAAAAAAACACCTGCACATAGGAGAATAACGAAATAGAAAGGACAACAATCAGAGAAAAACAGATTCTTAGAACGCATCTAAGGTTATGTCGTGGCAGTCATGACAAAGCCGGCCCTGAGGGAGAGAGAGAGAAATAGGGATGAGAAGAAAGAGAAGAAGAACTCAGGACTCGTTCTGATCGTATCCGTCAAAGGAGAGGCAAATGAAGAAAAAGAAGCCAATCAGACCCGACGGCCTCGTCAGAGACCACAACTTCCCCCAGTGATTAATTTACCACCAGGAAGAAGGTCCAGTAGGGCCGGAGGGGTTGCCGTAGCCACCACCGTAGCTGCCGCCGCCGCCGCCGCCGCCATAGCCACCACCGCCTCCATAGGAGGGAGGGGCGCCATAGCTGCTGCCGCCGCCACCATAGCTGCCGCCAGGTGCACCGTAGCTGCTGCCGCCAAAGGAGGGAGGACCGCCCATACCACCACCCACGCGACGCATGTCACGGGTAGCGTTGGCGCCACGACCACGTCCACCACGGCCGCCACGACCACCATAGCCGCTGCCCTCACGAGCAATGCTCTCGAGGAACGAGGGGACCTCCTGGTGAGCCTCCTTCAGAAGATCGATCAGGTCGCGGACAACACCCCGGTTGCCACGGTTGAAGAAAGCAGTGGCGATACCAGTGTTACCGGCACGACCAGTACGACCAATACGGTGAACATAGTCATCGATGTCGGTGGGCAAGTCGTAGTTGATGACGTGGGTGACATTGGGGATATCGAGACCACGAGCAGCAACAGCAGTGGCAACAAGGATAGGGCAACGGCCAGAGCGGAACATTTCCAAAGCACGCTCACGCTCACGCTGGGTACGATCACCGTGAATAGCGGTGGCGGGGAAACGCTGGTTAAGAAGGAAGTCGGACAGAGAATCGGCCATACGCTTAGTCTCGACGAAGATGAGGGTGAGACCGCTAGTGCCGTGGGTGTGGAGGATATCCAAGAGGACGGAGCGCTTGTCGTGGTCTTCGACATATTCAACCTTCTGGGTGATGTTCTCAGAGGTAGATCCGACACGGCCGACGGACAGGAAGACGTAGTCCTTCAAGAAGTCGCGAGCCAGCATCTGGATGTCACGGGGGAAAGTGGCCGAAAACATCAGCGTCTGGCGGTCATTCACGTGGGGCATATCCTCGCCTTCCACGATGCGGCGAATCTGGGGCTCGAAACCCATGTCCAACATACGATCGGCCTCATCCAGGATCAGGTACTTGATGTTGACCAGAGAGATGCGGCCACGCTCGATAAGATCGACAAGACGACCAGGGGTAGCGACCAGAAGATCACATCCGCGCTCAATCTGGCGGAGCTGGGAACCGATATCGGCACCACCGTACACAACGCAAGGGCGGACCCAGGAGCGGTAGGCGAACTTACGGGCCTCGTCGAAAATCTGGGAAACAAGCTCACGGGTGGGGGCCAGAATGAGGGAGGTCGGGTACGCCTTGCGTTGACGTCCGTAACCGAATTGACCGCCAGCCTGGGCAGGAGCAGCGGAAGGACCGTTCTGATAAGCCTGAGACAAAATAGGGAAGAGGAAACCACCAGTCTTTCCGGAACCAGTCTGGGCGCAGGCCATCAAATCGCGGCCGTTCATGACAATGGGGATGGAGTACTTCTGGACGGGGGTGGGAGTCTGGTAGTGGGCGAGCTTGATGTTCTCAATCAGGTGGTCATCCAGGGGCGGGTTGGTGAAGGCGTTGACCGGCTCCGGGACATCGTGACCAGAGGCCTCCACGGGGATGTCGTCGTAATTGGCGAAGTTGATACCGGTGTTCTGCTTGGTGGGATCGTTGGGAAGACCGAAAAGCTCGCGTTCGAGACGGGGATTGGCAGGACCGGGAATGTGCTTGCCGTCACGCCACTGGCCATCTCCAGAGCCTCGGGCAGAACCACCTCCACTTCCTCCATAAGAGCCTCCGTGACCTGGGTGTCCGTAAGCATTTGGATTAAAGGGCCGGCGAGCTTCGTGAGGGCTCCAGCTAGTGTTACCATTGGGACCGCGAGGGCTGAAATCGGGGGCGTTGGCGTTGGCCCACTGGCCACCGCGAGGGCCGCCTCTGCAAAATCATGCCAGTTAGTCACTACACACAACGTGAAATGGGACACGCCCGTGATGCAAGATCACTTACCTAGGACCACCCCAGGAGTTGCCAGGGCCAGCGGCGGGACCGGGGGGAGGGGCAGCGGCAGCACCGTCCATGTTTCCACCCATCTGGCGTCCGCGAAGATGGGGAGGGATGTAAGCGGCGCGACCCGTGTTGGGGGCAGCGGCAGGAGCGTGCTGAGACTCGTTGAGGGAAAGGTTTCCCATCTTCAAGCTGTCGGCCATATTTGCGGTATTTCGAACTGTAGACACCGAAGACAGATGAGCAAAACGCGTTGGATGTCGTTGGAGGGAGCCGGCACAGAAGAAGAAAAAAAAACGTACTATGCTGGTAGTTGAACAAAGCGATTTTTTAGCGGATGTTGTCCTTGCGGGCGAACACTGCAAATTTCTTTTCTTCTGTACAGGACAAAAGGAAAGAAAATGAAAAAGTGAAGTAAAAAGTCCCCGCGTCTCTATCGAGTGGCAATACACAGGGGATCAATAAGAGTAACACAGAGCGAGAAAGAGGAACAGGGTAAAGAAAGACCTTGGGGAGGAATACTAAACGAAGAACAAGACGATCTCCCAGATCTAACCTCTATTACGGTGTAGAAAAAGAGAAGAAAAAAGGGGGGGAAGGGGAAGAGAATAGGATACGATGTGGAGATATTGGAGAAAAAAAAAATTGAAACCAGACTGGATTAGGAGGGGAGGTTTAGAGGGGATGGGAGGAAAAGAAGTAGGGAAGAGGAAGAAGGTTTGTGGGACGGAGAACGGGGAGGAGAGGCAAAGACGATGACTACGAAACTAAGGGAATAATGCACTGGCAGTGGTTGGCAGGCCTGCGCACTGGGAAGGTTTTGCTTGCTTATTGGCAGCCCGGCGATGGGATTATTGGGGACGGTCCGGGTGAGAAAAAAAGGTTCAGCGTGCAAAAAAGAAGCGAAGGGAAGCAGCAGCAGGAGGGCAAGCCGGCCAGCGCAGGCCAAACGGCCATTGCACCAAACAGGAAGGGGGAATGGGAAAAATCCAGAGAAAATTCTAAAAAGGCTAAACGAAACAGAGTGGCGGCGTAGTTGGTTCTGGCGGTTCTGCCTGTGTTGCCAGATGATGATGGGCTGGGCCCTGTCTATTTTGGCCCTGTTGTACCTCCGTCACTACTCACTTGCTGGAAGTTCCTTCTCGCGCTGTCTCTGCTTGTCCCCTTTGGTCAACCGGATCAAGAACAATTTCATGGATTAAAAAGTGTAAAACTCTGATCAAGATCAAGGAACTTCCCGCATTGAAACGCTGTCGATTCGACTAGAAGCCATAATACATTTTCTATTTGGAACTTTTGGCCAGCTGCAAGATCCTAGGGTTGTTGGCCGAAATCCCACATTCTATACTATCTAGGGTACTAGTAGCAGCGACTTGTTCACCAGTTGATCCGGTTTGAGCCAATCTGACGAGGTCTAAAAAAACTCTGCCTTTTGCCTCAGGCTCGCCTCCCCCGTAGATACTGTCACGGCCACGTGATGTACCCTCTCCAGCCAAGCGCATCCTTACTTGGCACCCCGGCCATGGCGAAGTACTATACTTCGCCTCCGGCGTCTTCCTTTTTTACAGTGTCAACGTCGTCGCTGTATCGTGGAAACTGATAGGCTTCTGCGCCCTGGTATGTTGACTGATCCTCGGTGATCAGAACTTCTGACTGCAGCAATGTTTGAAATTGTATACTTAACTCCTGACCACAGCATACAAAAATTTGTCTTACAGTACGGAGTATGATCGTCCTATACTAGGCTTACAACGCCAAAAAGTGGGCACTTGCCCTCCAGGATTGACGTGATTTAAGCATCATTGTGCATTACTAAGTCCCCGTTGAGAGGCCTTGGATGATGATAGTACTGTTGTCGTTCATGCTGTCCGTGCCCAACTGCTGTATATAACAGGTCACCTGTTTGTTACTTGCACCCGGTTGAACGGATCTTTATATTCGAAGTCTGACTATAAAATCCATAGTTCGTGACGGTCATGCTGAAAGCAAGCTAGACTTTGTAAATTCCCAAGTCCCAATGACCGCAGAGGAACCTCAGTGGAATGGTGTTACTCCTGGGAGGAAATAACCTTACTCCGCAGGTGGAATGGTCTCCCACTCAGGTCGTCAGCGTGGGGTCGGTGAAGTATGGTAGGCAACGAGCAAATCTTATCGCCGAGAAAAACTTTCCTACTGGACGGTGCCTATCATACCACTGACTAACAAAGTACTAGATGGTTAGGGGTGGCAGGAGTACTTGGACTGTTCCAAAGGTAGACTAGGTGGTGGGCGCATCCTTGCCGCTGCCTGCCAGTGGAGCTTACCACAAAAGTACTTCGTTGGCCCAACCGGAGGCCAAGCCTTTCTCTTACTTGCCACTGGAAGATGATCTCACAGCACTTGCTCCTGGCGCGCTTGCCACGGCTGTTTTTAAGGCGTGGGTTATGCGTCGGCTCGTCATGTGGCACTTGAATACAGCCTGCAGTACTTTGTAGTCATACACTGCAAGGAAGATGTACAGTACGAGCTGCAGCAGAGGGTAAAATTACTGAGCAATTCTTTCCATGTATTTGGATGAGTACAATTTTTTTTCTAAACAATGCTCCTCTCAGCCTTCTCCTGTTCTCCCTTAAAGCTGCGTCGGACCAGGACGACCAAGAGACCGACAACAATGGCAAGCGCTGCGAATTTCGGGAAGATGTAAGGAGCGTTATCAGATGTCATAGACAAAGGGGTTGGAGAAGGAACAACAGCAATTGCTGAAGGTTGTGACTCTTCTTCAGAGCTCGTTTCTTTACAAGCGATCAGCACATCACAGTCTTATCGAGAAGCAGGCTGAGACCTCAGGAAACAGGTCTACAGCTCCTCGTGGCTGCTACCTTTTTCTTCAGCCTTGTCCTCAGACTCCAGCTCTCCGCTCTTGACGATCTTGACAGTCTCCACGGGTCTGTCAGAACGGCCCTTAGGCACGTTCTCGATCTGAGCGACAATCTCGTAGCCCTCGAGCACTTCACCGAAGATAACGTGGCGGCCATCAAGCCAACTATCCCGAAATCGTAAGCTGGCTGTCATCGCCATACAGGTTTGGCACGGACTTACGGTGTAGGAACGGTGGTGATGAAGAACTGGGAGCCGTTGGTGTCCTTGCCGGCGTTGGCCATGCTCAGCAGACCCTTGCGCGTGTGCCTCAGCTTGAAGTTCTCATCGGCGAACTTCTCACCGTAGATAGACTTTCCACCGGTACCTTTCGTTTGAAGGGTCAGCATATGGCAGAGGCATTGTACACATAAAATGAAGATCCTTGTAGTACTGACCATCGCCACGAGTGAAGTCACCACCCTGGATCATGAAGTCCTTGATGACACGGTGGAAGGTAGACCCTTCATAGCCAAACCCCTTCTCACCAGTAGCGAGAGCACTGAATACGAGCAATGTTAGAATGGCGCAGAAGCTTCATAGAGCTCGTAAAATCATACCGGAAGTTCTCAGCGGTCTAAAAAAGCAAAAGTAATATTATCAGTCTAGGAGCTCCGAGTGACAATAGCATGACGACGATCACGTACCTTAGGGACAGTCTTGCCATACAAGCCAAGCACGACTCTGCCCAGAGGCTTGTCTCCGTGCTCGATATCAAAGAACACCTATATGTAAATACAGTTAGTATGTCATACTTGGAAAGCAATTCACAATGGTTGTAAGTGCCGAAGATCACATCTATACATACCTTACTGGTGATCTTGGGACCCCGGGGCTGAGCCTCTTCGGCGTGGACAAGAGCAAGTCCAACCGCCAGGACGAAGAAGAAAGACAGGAAAAGGTTCTTGAAGTTCATGATTGCTCAGGATGTCTCCAATGTAGGAGAATTCTAACAATTGCTTGAGAACACAGGAGACTCAAGGAGCAATCATGCGGCGAATGGAGGCCAGCTTGCATTACTGCGGAGATGCCAAGAGCACCATAACCGTATCGGGATTAGTATGACTGTATCTTTGCAGCTATCACTTGAAATTTTCATTCACTGCGCCGCAACCGCGGAAGAATTAGGATGTATTTTATGTATGCAAAACTCAAAATTACTCAGATTTGTTCGGAGAAACATTGTTACTGGTCGATTTCTTCCGCGCTGAACTGAGCCAGACTGCGGAGGTTGATAGAAGAATAGCGCAGCGCATAGGCATTTTGAGCCATATCACATCCCCTGGAGCACTGAACAAGCCAAACCGTCAAGATGGTATGTATTAATACTATGCCAGTACAAAGTCTCTCTCAAATGTGTGGCTAATAAGCAATTAGGTTTTCATTTTGGGCGTGAACTTCCCCGAGCGAAACCTCGTCAAGGCAAGCAACTCCGAACTTCCATCTTTCCTTCAACGCCTAGTCTGACTGAATTCAGAAATCGCTTGAGTCCTTCTTCGGCATCGGTAACTTGACCTCGACCCGTCTCCTTGCCCGCTTCCACATCCACCCAACATGCAAGGTTGGCGACTTGGCGAACAAGCAGGTCCTCGATATCACGGCCGCCTTGTCCGATATGAAGATTGAGAACGACCTTCGCAGGCAGTACCTCGATAACATCAAGCGTCTGAAGGAGACGGGAACCTACCGTGGTCGGCGTCATGCGCTCGGTTTGCCCGTTCGGGGACAGCGGACGAGGAGCCAGGTTGGTTTACACCCATGTTTAAATATCTCCAACTATGATACCAGGGAGTGTTGGAGCACTTCGCTGGTGGATGTGGTCGTGGGGTACTACACAGAGCAAGAATCTTACTAACATGATTTCTAGATTAAATCTGCTGTCAAGCTCAACCGTATGGAAAGAAGACTGTGAGGTTAACATGATGATTCATTTCGACCCCAGTGGTCTTGCGGCTTCGTTTCAGTTGGGGCATGGAATGGCGTTATAAACTTGCTTTTGTAAATTAGTGTTCTGGCTTGACCGTCTCCACCCTGGAGATGTATTTTATGTAGACAATGAAACATTGAGACTCTAAGGAGATCATAGTAGTGATTCCATGCTGCCTCTTAGAGCAATTATATGATATATTGCAAGTGGAAACATCAGCTCGTACAGCGGCTTGTTTAATACAAAGAGTCAGAACCAAACTTTTCATCCTATAAGTATAACGCCAGAACCATATGTGCAACTCCTCTTATGCGGAAGACAATACGCCTTCACCCCGGTTGATCTGAATCCTCTTATCCTCACCGGCGCTAACAATGCCAACCGAACGGTCCCAGCACACACTGAAGACCTTGACTCCCTCTCCACCTACTCGCTTAGCATCCGCTTTACCTTGCTCTTCCAAGCTTCTCCGAGTAATCGAGTACACGCTCTCGCCAACAACACCGTCCTTATCCGTCTTTGTAGCACGGATATCCCAGATTCGGCAGGTACCGTCGTGACTGCCACTAATGAGACCGTAGCTGCTGTGGGGATCGCGGGAAAGAGAAACCACGGCATTGGTGTGGCCTCTAAGGGTCATGGCGGAGATTGTTGTCGCTGACGTACGAGGGTCGATGAGAGTGATGTGGCGAGCAGAAGTACCTGTCGCAAGAAGGTGGTGCTCGGGGAGATGCTCGAGAGATAGCAACGAATGGGATGTCGATCTGGTGTCTACTAAAGCGGCCGTGACCAGATCCCATGTACGCAGAGAGTGATCCCAAGAAGTAGAGTAACCGACAGTCGAGTCGTTCGTGTCAAAAATGGCAGCTGAGACTGGCGCGGTGTGGGAAGACAACAGCGCAAGCGGGCCGCGCTGCGGGGTGCTGACGGACGAGCTCACCTTTCTGCGCTTGGAGCTCCGTGACGCAGCAGACGAAACTAGGTTCTCGGGAGCAGCTGGGGCATCTGATTTCTTTGTCGACCAGAAGCCAATGTTGTGGTCTGCCGAAGCGGAGAGAATACGGTTCGAGGGGGCATGCACAGCCAACGAGTTGATACCAGATTTGTGTCCGTAGAGCTCAATCTGCGGGGTGATCTTTCCTGAGAATCCATCATCGCTTTCGTTGTATTTCCAGAGTCGAACGGTGCGATCAAGGCCAGCCGACACGATCGAATTCGGCGAGACGAACTTGGCGGCCTTGATAGACGCGCCGTGTCCCCCATCAGCCGGGGACGGTGAGGTTGCGACGATTTGAGACGACATATTCCACACACGAAGCAACCCGTCGTAGCTGCCCGATAGGATCCTCTCCTGCCCCGGAGACACGATCGCAGAAGCCCAAGAGGTAGCTGGCGAGGTCGCAGAGAGGACATCCACCGAGCCAACCCAGTCATCATGCTCGAACGAAGCAATATGAAGCGGGGGAATCAACGCTCTGATATACTCAATTTCCAGAGTAGTTTCCGCAGATATGCCATTGGCCGTCAAGTATTCATCGATCGAAGTCCGAAGGAATGCGCCATTGATCAAAAACTCAAATGGCACCGGCTTGTCGTTTCCCAAAAGATTGTTCACCAGGGTAGAAAGCGCATATCTCCGCAATCCTACAAACAGATAAAGAAGTTAGTGAGAACGTATGTGTATATAAGGCAGACTGGCAGCGATCTGCCAAAATGCATTCATACCTGTGGGAACCAGAATGGGGCCGGTGCTCTCAGGCAGCGCAATGTCTTCTTGCTTGCTAACTAGCTGCACACGCACCTGCCTCTGCGCAGACTGGGACGAGGCCGCAGCAGACGTCGAATCCTGAACGCCGTTCATAATGGCACTGAAGGGAAATATGGGGGTTATGAAGGGCGCGATCTAGAGCACTTCAAAGTGCAGTTGAGAAAACTCCACCGAGTGAGGAAAAAAAATACGGCAACCGATGCGGCCACTTGTGCAAAGCGCGGAGATTCCCCGCCGCAACATTACGTACCAGATAAGTAGAAGAGCAAAAATATGCACCAAAGACAACAATATGCCATTTTGCTAAGTTTATATACATGGAAGTAAAGCTAACGACTATTGCCCTCGTGATGCCCTTCTGATGTCCGCGATAGCCTTACGCCGGTAATCGGATTCGGCAAAAAGAGCTTCGATCAGATCCACGACCTCGTCTGGAGAAAACTCTAGACGCAATTCGCCTTCGAGCCAAAGGAATTTGATGTCAGCAAGAGAGCTTTCCAATATATTGATCAGATACTGGAATTTCAACCAGTTTTGTACGTAGACGGCCGTCATAGGCGAACGCTCGGTGTTATCTGGGCCCTCAGGGATGAATAGATCTTCCAGCCCAGTCACTTGGTTGCAAAATGACACAAGTCGCTGTGACTGGGGCTCTGAAATGTCACCCAAATCCTCAATTTCGATTATCATCTTGCTGATGACAGTTGAAACCAATGAGCCGATCGATTGAAGAAGTGCAGACTGCGACAAGATAGGCTGCCATTCTTTGAAAACGTCGCGAATTCTGTCCACTGTTGCGCTGACCGCATTTTCGCATTCACCAAGGAACGGTTGCTCTGAGCATTGGCTGAAGCCCTGTGCACCGTCTAGAAGGTCTGTGACAATTGTGCGTTGGGTCTGCATCTCTTTGCTGTAAGCCAGTTTTCCATATTTCTCAAGAGTTTCGATATCTGCATGAAGCCTGGTGATCTGGTACTCCTCTGCGAGATCACGAACTTGACCGGCGAGATACAGGCTGTCGTTATATAAATACATCTGCCCAGCACTCAATTTGAGACCGTAGAAAGTCGAGGCTGTGGCTTTGAACATGGCCAATATCAGAGTTGGGAGTGCGAGAAGTCCTGTTCCGGAGGAAACCACACGTGAGTGGGCATGCCTGCAACGTATTAGAATCACTATAGAACTCTGACCATGAAAGACTTACGCAGGCTGGGATATGGCATTGGAGTCCACCACTTGTTGCTTGACGACACCCAGAATAGAGTCGGGGATGTCTGTGATGGTGTACTTCTCCCTCAAAGTAACCTCTCTGGGAGTGGAATGGCTGGCCCCACCCTTGCCATTGACAGTTGCAGGCACAACTGGTGTCTTAGGCTCTGAGACCTCGGCGTTCTGTTCTTCATCCTCATCACCCCAGCCCCAGGCATCTCCAGCATCATCATCATTGTCCGCAGATGCCGTGGCTGTGCCATTTTTCGTTTTGGGGTCATGTTCTTCAGTATCATCATCCAGCCCCCATGCACTCACGTCTTCCTCATCGTCGAAATTACTGGGCTGCTTCCCCTTAGAGCCGCTCTCATTGTCTTCTTCCCAACCAGCGTCCCAATCATCAGGTGCAGCATTCTCCAGCAGCGCTTCATCACTCCCGGAGACCTTCTCGACTTCAATTCTCTCAACCTGTTGTGTAGTGCCTTGGGAAGCAGCGAGAATTCTCCGAACTTGATCCAATGAATCAACGCGCCTTCTAGCTATCCAGAGACGTGGAGCCTGGTTGACCCAAGAGATGAGTTCTTCTTGGCCGCGCCACTCATAACTCTCAATGTTCTTCGTGAATTTGAGGACATGATCGAGCATTTGCTCAAACTGTCCCAAGCCTTCAAGATCGGTTGGAATAGCAGGTGATAGCCACAATTCGATTATCTTGGAAGACAGCGAGGGAATGAACATTTCCGAGAATGATTCCACAATAGGCGCGGGAACATATTGCTTCAAGAAGCCCAATACCTTGACTAGGCGTTCAAGCAGCTCTGGTATTGATGCCGTTGATGGCTGCGGGTCAAGGTATATCGTAGACCCTGAAACATGGCACTCATGGCTACGCCCAGTGGCTCCAGGCAGCAATATCGGATCAATTATCTTCGATATCAATTCCTTTGGGAACCTATCCCTTGCTGAGGGGAACATCTCAAGCCTGGTCAAGGCCACGATAGTCTCGTGCAATGTATCATCTATGAAATATGTTAATGAGCTTGAATGACCTGGCACCATCCAACAGAAGAATCATACCGCTGTCCTTGGAAATGGTCAGCTTTCCCTCCGTCTTATCGATATGTAGCTGTTCGTTCCAGCGGTTACGGACAGCTTCCATGATATCTTTCCGCAGCCCGGCGGCATTCTCTAGCAGTATATGTAGAACGTTTGTGTTTGTGAAATGACTGCTTCGCTTGACGGCGTGTTCAGTGGATTCCAATGTGTCAATGGCAGCCATGGTGCGGCCCTCCCCGAGAGCTGCTCGTCCGTCGTCTAGTTGTTTGCACAGCTTTTGTACTTCTGTCAGCGCACTGGTTACCGCCTGATTGAACGCGATTTCGGTCTCAATGAGACCAACTTTCGCAGAAGCATCTTCCACTTTCAATTGCAAAGGTTGCGTTTTCTCATGTTGCTCGACGATTTCCCTCGCAGTGACTCTAGAACGTTCAATGTCTGCATGAAGCTGCTTGGCCTGTGAAATCCATCCGTCCGCATTGAAGTTGTTTTCACGACTGAGGAAGTTGATCTCGGCCTATTGGAAATTCTCATTTAGTTATAATGCCATCTGGGCTGCTACTTGTGCGGGGCTCCGCATTAGATACTACTTACTTCAACTTGCTCTCTAGCCTTCGATATCAGCTCCAATTCCTTCGCCAAGATAGAGCCAGAAAAGTCAGAGGCGACAACCTGCTCCGACCCTGGATAAGTACCGTCGGTCACGAAATCCAGCACCGACTGGCCTATGTCCTGCTCCGATACCTTAGCGGACATCTTGTCAGTAAACAAGAGCCTTTGATTCTTGGTAACCGGCGGATCAAAAAGGTAAGGCAGGCCAGCAGAAGAGCCACACTAAGCTCCGCTTCCCATGTAAAGGCGATCTGCCAGGTATCGATCCCCAAAGATATACCAAGGTATCCAATGAAGCAAATCGCAACCGAAAGGGAAGGCGAGCTGTCAACACCGCCATGTGACTTCACCGCTCACCGCCTTGGCTGCGATAGGCAAGACCACAAACGGTCTCGCTCTTCCCCACGGCCAAACTGAGACCATTTTTAAGTTCTACTTTAATTTTTTTAGTTGTCTTATCTGCATGTATATTCTTCGTTTTTTGTTCGATGAAGATTTCTTCAAACCTAGATCCGGGTTGTCTTTTCGTGAAGTGTCTGTTGGTGTGGTGAGCTCTATCGGACCGGAACCTGAACTACTCCACTCTGAACCGTTACAGTTGGAGGGTAACCTCTTCGTTCAGCGGCCAACTGTGTGACCTGAAAATTCCTGAAACAATCATAACCGGCGTCAAGCAGAGCCCATCGTGTTGTCTCAGTTACTATTGAGAAGCCTGATTCGGGCAAACGCTTCTCGATCCATGTGAGTCCATGCTAGTGCCAGCCCTGAACTCCATCGAATAAAAAAAAAGAAAGAAAAGAGACTGCCCCTCCGTCGTCGTCTGTATTGAACATCCAATCCCTGAACTGGCAGCCTTGCATTGGCTGCCACAGTTTTGCGCAGTCATACAGCATGCTTCATGGTCTCCGTGATGTCGTATTATTACAATTTGCAATTCCCTTGTTCTTGCTATTGGTATTTCAGACATGGAATGGGTGCTTTTCCCGTTTCAGTTCCCCGCATCCCGAACCTCAAGCATTGCTAGCTTCTTTGAAATGAATAAAACTGTTATACTTGCTTCTTAGACATCTGCGTTTCTGGTCTATGGAATACTAACAGTCTTTCAGATTATCACTACGGGGTGTGATCGCAGAATTTGGTTATAAATCACATTTCCAGAGACCATTGAGCAACATGTCATCTACCCAAAACAGCCATTTCAAGCTACTCCAGAAGTTTAAGCCGGAGTACTCGCCTAGCGAGTTTGCTCAGTATGAATCGGAGAGAACAGGCATGAGGGTAGTGGTCATTGACCAAAAAGGACCCAAAGTCACGGGATATTTTGTTCTAGCCACTGAGATTCTCGATGACTCGGGTGCTCCTCATACATTGGAGCACTTGTGCTTCATGGGCTCTCGCAACTATAGATATAAGGGCTTCCTTGACAAGCTGGCAACACGTGTTTATTCGAGCACTAATGCCTGGACGGCCACAGATCACACGGCCTACACCTTGGACACAGCAGGCTGGGAAGGATTTGCTCAAATCTTACCCGTGTACCTAGAGCATGTTATAGCTCCAACACTGACAGATGAAGGGTGCTATACCGAAGTGCATCATATTGACGGCTCCGGTGACGACGCCGGAGTCGTCTACTCGGAGATGCAGGGTGTGCAGAATAACTCTGCAGAGTTAATCGATCTAACCGCTCGTCGATTGACTTACCCGCATGGTGTAGGCTTCCGCTACGAGACAGGCGGTATGATGGAGCAGCTCCGTGTACTCACCGCGGATCGTATCCGAGCGTTCCATCGTGAGATGTACCAGCCCAAGAACTTATGCCTGATTATCACAGGCGAAGTAGATCACCAAAACATGCTGGAGACCTTGGACAAATTTGAAGATACTATTCTAGATGTCATTCCCAGTCCTGAATCACCTTTTAAGAGACCGTGGGTAGATTCCAAGCAGGCGCCGCCATTGGAGAAGTCCATTGTCCAGACTGTGGAATTCCCGGAAGAAGATGAATCTTTTGGAGAGATAGAGATTAGATTCCTCGGTCCGGACTGTACCGATCCTGTTCAAAGTGAGTGTTTCGCCAGTTCCCTCATTTCGAAGTGATACTTACACTGTAACAGCCGGGGCTGTTAATGTTGCATTGTTGTATTTGGCCGGTTCATCTGCTTCCCTCTTGGACAACATCTTGGTTGAGAAGGAGCAGCTCGCCAGTGCTGTTTATTATGCTACCGAAGATCATCCCA